TTGATTCAGAGAAAGGTCTTAGAAAAGTCTTAGCTAGTCTTGTTTTCAATTTGCTAGTTTTCACCTCCTTCTTTCTTGCTAAAAATCTGTAAGAGAGTGAACCGCTTGTAAAAAGTTGTAAGAGGGGTATTTACCCTTCCCCTTCAAGAGATTTGCTAGTGGAAGGTGGGAGCCTCATCGAAGAGGGGCCTCGCAAGTGGATGTAGGTCATTTGACCGAACCACTTTAAAATCGACGTAATCTCTGGTTTGCATTTCATTACTGCTATTTACATTACTGCAAACCTTCTTACTTGCCTTATTTCCTCATTACCTTTGCTGCACAACTTTGCGAATACGCTTTCAAGTTAAGCACTTTCGAGTTCGATTTTTATCGTACGAAAGATTTGTCAAAACCGACGTTTTAATTCGCTGCACTAATTCACCCCCCCCCCCTCTCTTAGTGCCGCTCCGATCCTAACATTAAACGCTTTACTTAGTTCGAAAAGAAAGGTATTAACTCGACTTTTGTATGTTTCGAATTAAATATTACAAAAGTTCCTTCTAATACTTAGTGGATTGATTATGGTGCTTCAACTCATATTACCAATAATATGCAGAGATTTCTTTCAATCCGGAAACCAAAAGAACATTATAGATTCATCATTATGGAAAATTATCTTAAAGCGAAAGTAATATTAGTGGGAACTTATTGTCCACGCTTAGAGACGGGTCATCTGATGGATCTTGTTAACACATGTTATGTTCCTACTATTTCTAGATATTTAGTTTCTCTGTCTAGAATTGATGAGTTAGGATATTATCTTTCTTTTGGTAATGGTAAACTCAGTATATTTTATGATTCAATAAAAGTTGGTTCTGGAATTATGTGTGATGATTTGTACATAATTAATTTGGATCTTGAGTTTATAAAGATATTATTGACCCTACAATCAAGTGTTAGATTGAAACATAATTTTAATAATGAAATATTTTCTATATTATGGCATAGGCGATTGAGGCATATCTCAAAACAAAAAATTAAAAGATTAGTGAAGAATAATATTTTGGAACATTTATACTTCACTGATTTTGATGTTTATATAGATTGCATTAAGGGAAAACAAACTAAACATATAAAAAAAAAATGTCATAAGAAGTAAAGAACTCCGTGAGATTATTCATACTGATATCTATGGACCACTCCATATTTCTTGTTTTAGTGGATAAAAATATTTCATCACATTTATATATGACCTGTCCAAATATGGCTATGTTTATATAATACATGAAAAGTCTCAAGTTGTTGATACTCTTGAAGTGTAAATAAATGAGGTCGAGAGACAATTAGATAGAAAAGATAAAATTATCAAATCTGATATGGGTGGTGAATTTTATGACAAATATGATGGATCTGATCAAAATATTGGTTCTTTTGCTAGATTCTTAGAACAATGGGGTATTTGTGCTCAATATGCATTACCAGGTGTGCCACAGCAGAACGATATTGCTGAAAGACGATATCATACTCTTATGGATATGGTTAGGAGCATGATGAGTTATTCCTCTGTACCTGAGTCGATGTGGGGTGAAGCTCTTAGGATAACTATATACATCTTGAATAGGGTTCCTAGTAAGTCAGTTACACCAATCCCATTTAAGTTGTGGATTGGTAGAAAGCCTAGTTTGAGATATTTGTATATTTAGGAGTATCCTATAGAGATAAAAATATTCAATCCACATGAAAAAAAATTGGATCCAAGATCCATTTTTGGATATTTTATTAGTTATCCAAAAAAATCCAAGAAATATAGATTTTATTGCCCTACTCATAGTACAAGGAAAATAGCGAATTCAGTGGGAGTGAAAAATCTTGAATGATCAATTTTGATATTGAGGAGATTCAAATTAATTCTCCCATATCATCTCTTATTCAAAAGATTATTATTCCTCAAATTAATGAGAGCATTGATGAGGGTGAACAACAAAATAATATTGAAGAACTCTCACATGATATTGATGTCACAACTGATGATCTTGTAGAACAATCACAATTGGCAGTTTTGAGAAGATCTCAAAGGAAAAGAAAATATGTCATTTCTGATGATTATGTGGTATATCTATAAGAATCAGATTATGATATAGGAATAAAAAGAGACCCCTTATCGTTTTTACAAACTATAGAAAGTAACGATTCTGAAAAATGGTATGATGAAATGAAAGAAGAGTTAAAATCAATGGTCCAGAATGGTGTTTGGGAACTCGTTGAATTACCCAATAATTATAAAAGAGTTTGTTATAAATAGGTCTTTAAGACAAAACGTGACTCAATAGGCAATATCGAGCGATATAAAGCCAGACTTGTGGCCAAAGTTTTTTCTCAAAAAGAATGCATCGACTATAATGAGATTTTTTCTCCAATTTATAGAAAGGACTCGTTGAGAATCGTTATAGCATTAGTAACTCATTATGATCTTGAGTTACATCAGATGGATATTGAAACAACATTTGTAAATGAAGATCTTGATGAGAAAATTTATATGAAACAACTTGAAGGATTCATAAAAAAGGAAAAAGAAAGTTGGGCTTGTAAACTTAATAAATCCATTTATAATCTTAAACAAGCTTCTAGACAATAGTATATAAAGTTTCATAATACAATTACTTATTTCGGATTTAAGAAAAATACTATTGATCAGTGCATATATCTGAAGGTAAGTGGGAACAAGTTTATTATATTAGTCTTATATGTGGATAATATTTTACTTGCTAGTCGTAATCTTGGTTTATTGCACGAAACCAAGATATTTCTCAACAAGAACTTTAAGATGGTTGATATGAATGAGGCAACCTATGTTATTAGTATTGAGATATTCAGGGATAGATCTCAAGGATTATTAGGATTATCTCAAAAATGATATATTAATCGTATCTTGGAGAGATTTAATATGCAACTTTGCAATGATATACCTATTACTATAGGTGAAAATTTCAATCAAAACAAATGCTCGAAAAATGATTTAAAAAAGAATCAAATAAAGAATATTCCTTATGGGTGTGTAGTTGAAAGTCTATTATATGCTCAAACATGTACAAGACCAGATATAAGTTTTGCAATTATAATGCTGGTAAGATATAGGAATGAAACATTGAAAAGCTACAAAGAAAGTAATAAGATTTCTAATGGGGACGAAAAATTATATACTCACATACAGGAGTTTAGATTAGCTTAAAGTGACATGATATTCAGATGTTGATTTTGCAAATTATCTCGACAATAGGAAGTCTACTTCAGAATTTATATTCATGTTAGCTAGTGGGGCAATTCCTTAGAAAAGTGTAAAGCAATCACTTATTGCATCATCAACAATGGAAGCTAAATTTATGGCACGCTTTGAGGTCACAAATCAAGTTTTATGGCTGCGAAATTTCATCTCAGGACTTAGTGTGGTTGACTCAATTGTTAGGCCGCTGAAGATATTTTATAATAACACCATAGTAGTTTTTTTCTCTAAGAATAGCAAGTACTCTAGTGGTTCCAAGCACATCGAGATAAAGTACTTGGTGGTTAAAGAAAGAGTTCAGAAACAACAAGTGTCAATTGAGAACCTGAACACCATTATGATGATTGCTAATCCATTGATAAAAGCTTTACAATGTAAAATATTTAAAGAACATGTTCTTGGAATGAGGTTTATGAGCAAGTTATAAAAGATATGGTGATGCATGTTTAGGTGGATGCTATTATTGATATTTTTTTTACTTAATTAAAGTTATTTATTTCTACTATTAGGATAGATTAACAATATTGTGATATATAAAAGAGAGTATGACATCGAAGATATACAATCGCTATGACTCACATTAATAGTTGAACTTAATATAGTATTATTGTGTTTATTGGACTTATTGACTTGTTTTAAAATTATGACTATGTATAAAATATTTTTCAAAATTATTTGGAATCTAATTAGGTAAAATTATTTTTAAATAAATTTTATTTTATTTATTTTGATTTTGAATATCTTTTTTTTATCTTATCAATTAATGGTCGAGTGGGAGAATGTTAGATTTTGTGGCCTTTATAATTGGATAAGATATATATAATATTACTAATTGGATTATGATGACAAGCCAATAAAAAAGAAGTCCAAAAGTATGATTCCTTAGGAAATAATCTTGATAAGATGAACTCTCCTAATTACTTATTCTAGACCTTATACTCTCGCCTATAAATAGACAAGACCTCATTATCTCAATTGAGGGATTACAGTGTGTCTCCTATGAAAAGATAGAAGAGAGTAGAAGGATCTAAAGACGATGCCCTTGCAGATCAAAACATAAATCTTTTTTTCAGATGATATCAAAAGATACGTATCGTAAAATTAGATCTAATTATATTTGATTTCAATCCTAGCAGCGTTTAATATAGCATATTACAGATTTTATACTTACAGAATTTTGATTCCAAAACTAACTTAAACAATGAACTGCAAAAATACTTTTCAAGTAACTTTGTAAGATTCGATATCTCTCCAGTCGAACAAGTACAACATCGATTGAGATCAACGTGAGACAAATGCGAAAAAGGGATCTCGGTTGGTTGGTTTCAAATCTAACTTTCAGTTCAGATAATTATTTTTTTATTTAATATAATTATTATAAATTATATCAAAAAATATTATAATTTCTAGAAACATTATGGTGCAAAAAAAGTTATTTTGTTCATCTTAAGCAAACCTATGAATCTACACAAACCATCTCATCATTATTTCTTCTTAGTTAATCGGAGGTATTGCCAGGATTCAACGTATAAACAACTAATGACATGCTCGGATCCATCATGGTTCGACTTCCATAACCGGATCTTAGGATTCGAAAACGAAGCTGTAGCTTATCGGGATCGTGCTTTACGATTCACGTCCGGAAGATCGGATTCGGATTCGGATTAAATTATGGTTTTGTCGCGATATGCATTATCCGATATCAACCCCCACCCCCCCATCCGTTAAATCTCGAAAGCCTCGGTGAGAAATGACTTCAGCGCCGGAAAGGAAGAAGAGGACGAGCTAAATAATCACGAGGTGGGGGACACGAAGCGGTAGTGGCTGGGCTACTGCTGCACAACCCCCCCACACCCTCTCTGGCTCGCTCTCATCCATCTCGCCGATTCGATTCTTCCACATCGTTTGGAGGAATTTGAGGCTCTCGGTTCTGTTGATCTCGCGATCTCGCGAAGGTATCTTTGCCTTTTTCTTTTCCCGTTCTCGATCGTCATCATTCGGTCACGATTCCTTTCTTCTTGGATTTGCTTTTTCTTTTTTCTTCGCGTTCTTGTCTTTTCCTTTTTCTCTTTCTTTTTTTCCTCCTGCATTTTGGATTTTTGATCATCATGGATCTTTTTCTTTGAAACCCTATTTCTCCTTATCTCGATGTGTTAAGCCCTGATCTTTCTGTTTGATCTTGGAAATATTCGGTATCATCTGCGCATTGTCTGAGATGTTTTCTTCCTCGATAATTTTTCTTCTCTTTTGCGCTGGGGTTTGCTCAAGTGGGCTGAGGGAGTGACCGCATCTTCGTACTTGCTGCCGGCTCAAAATGATCGGGAGTTTTATCACGAGAAGCCTTGCGTAAGTAATTAGGTCTTCGTAACCCTTAATTGCTCCCTTTCTTGAACAACGTAATGCGAGGGGCAAGGATAAATCAGATTGCGACTGGTTCTCGTGTGACAGGTTGATTCTTGGATATGCTTATCCAGCCTATGAATGCTTCAAGACGGTGGAGTTAAACAAGCCCGACATCGATCAGCTTCTGTTCTGGTGTCAGTACTGGTTTGTTCTTATCTCTTGTCAGCCGAACGAACCTGCATTCCTCTATCTCATCCTTCTGTCGGTTTTCAAGCTAAAAGTTTGTTTTTTTGGGGGGGGGGGTGATCTGTTTGTAGGATTTTAGTTGCTGCCTTGACTGTCTTTGAGAGAGTGGGCGACAATTTCATTTCATGGTATGGTAGCTCGAATTGGTTTGATGCGTCTTCTTTTGAGGCTTTGCCAAACATTTGACATGCTGAATCTTGTCTCTTTAAATTGAAGGATACCAATGTACAGCGAAGCGAAATTGGCATTCTTTGTGTATCTCTGGTATCCCAAAACAAAGGTATAAACCCCAGTGATTGTTTCATTGTGTGTTATCCAGTGAACAATTTGGTTAAGGAGTATATGCATCTGTGGGCAGGGAACAACTTATGTTTATGAAACCTTCTTCCGCCCGTATGTGGCAAAGCATGAAAATGAAATAGATCGCAACTTGCTTGAGCTGAGAACAAGGGCTGGGGATATCATGGTCCTCTACTTCCAGAAAGTTGCAAGCTATGGTCAGACGAGGATTTTTGAAATCCTGCAGTATGTTGCTTCGCAATCACCCTCACAATCATCAAGAACTCGTCCTGTTCAGGTTTTATTCTTCAGGCTATAAATTATTTTTTATTCCACTGATTTTTCCTATTTTATAATCTTGGCTCGTATGGATATCGTTCTAGAGATAGCTTTTCAGTAGCTTCTCTAGGACTTGTTTATATTTGTTGCCTATTATTCTCTATGGTAACCAAATAAAGTAGTTGCTGCAAATCATTCTACAGTCTATCGTGACATATTGTTCGTGGCAAACTATTAACACAAAGCATAATGTTATATTCTCTTCCTGTGGCTTTCAGATGGATAATTGAGGCTGCATGAGGTGTGCTTCTGTTGACCTATTTGGCTAAACAAAAACATAAAGTGTTGTTCTATGTTTGGGTGGTAAACTACTAGTAAAATATTTAGGCGAATTCCATTGAAGCCAACTTGGTCGGTGAAATCAATGTTTGCCTTAGATAAATAATTGTGTTTGCGGTATATTTTGGTGATGACCATATCTTCCTTGGAGTATGTCACTTGGTCTAGCTAAGCAAATTTTTAGGACATTCTGCTGGCCGGTTCTTGCATCTACTTGTAAATATCCGTTAGATTCTCTATATTTGATATATGTGGGTTAAATGAGTCAGTCTAAGCATTAAATTGCAGAGTATTGTTTTGATATTGTCCTGTTTATTAACAATAAAGTTAATTTTAAACTAGTTCATTTAACATGAGTACTGTAGACTTGTTAGAGTCCTTTTCTGTTTTACTATCCCACCAGCCAGCCCTCTGTGAGAGCAACTACAGAATTCATTGTAAGTTTCTTGCTTTGTGCTGGCTCTTAATCTCTAAATGCATTTTGGAAACAAAGGGTTGGTTCTCTTTCTACATGCTTAACGCCCGATTTAAGATGCTGCAATATATTGGACGTCTTTTGATATGTGAGAAGTCTTTAATCCTTCAACATGTCATATAAGGTATTCTTTAGTTTAGTGGGCAAACGTTAATTGTATACATTAACCCATTTAAGCTTAGACTGCACCTGACTCAGGTACTGTTTACATTTGTTTGTCGATATTCCTCAATTAGATAGATGTGATGGAAGAGCACTTGTGACACAAAGACAAGGTACAATCAAATTAGATCTTGAATTAACACAGGTTGAGACAACTCAATTTTAGAGGGTCGAGTCACATTGTTGGTTAAAATATAGGTGAGTTGTGAGACTTATAAGTCAACTGTAAGAAAGTTTTGAATGATTGAGATGTATACTTGGGTGAACATTTTACTGTTATTGGAAGGTTTTGTTAGTAATGGAAACGAAGCCCATAAAAAATGTTGGTTCTCTATTAATATAATAATTTATTGAGCAGGAACATAAAATAAGAGAGACCTTTGGTTATAATTTTTGAATCTGAGCCCTTGCTGAGATATTTTTGGTTAATTTTTTTTCCTTGTAATTCTTCTTTATCTTTTGCATCCTTCTTAGTTGATTGTTTCTTAATTTATTGTGTATTTCCTATGATGTCTATCTATGTAAATTGTCTTCTTGTTTGGTGGCACCAAAATCTGAATCGCTAATTCCACAAGTCGTCACTCAAATCTATGTTTCTCCATTGCTGTATGTAGTTACCAAGCATGCAAATCGAATCAAGATAACAAGGTTGAATATAAGTTTTTCATATATCTTTTGGGTTATATTGCTAACTTATGGTCTATTATGCCTCTGAGATAAATCTTGATCCCTATTAGCATAGCTAGTCATTGTTTTTTCACTCTTTTAAAGTCAGGTTATTTTTGACAGTTGGTTCGTTGTTACATAAATGATCAACAGTAAATAACAAGGGTTCCTTCTTCCCTAAGCCTGCCTGATGATAATAAATTATCGAATATGCTCTGAAAACCTTCTAATTTTAAACTAAAATTTTGCAAAATGTCATTTGTTATTGTGGAAAGTCATTGAAGATTATTGTGTTTTTTATGTTTGGTTGTGTTTTGAATTTTTCAATTATGTCCTTGTTATTCTAGGCCTAGCTCATTAATGTAATATAGCAATGTGTTATCATAGTCCAAGAAAACGAATTGAGGGTTCCATAAAATGAATTATAACGATTTAAATATGACATGTGATGTAGAATTTCATTCCTAGCAATAGTTTGGGTATTGAGAATGCCTTACGTAAAAGAAATAGTTATCAGCTGTGTATCTATTAAGTATTCATGACAGAGGATTGAGCACAACAGATTCAGAATTAGTGTACTGATGAGGTTTGAGTATGTTCTCCAGGGCTCGGAGAGCCTGGGGACTTAGAAGTGATAGACAAATACAAGAATGAGTGGATTTGAAAAGAATGATCTTTGATGAGCCTATGAATGGGTTGGGTCAGATCAGGTTGATGGGTAATGTCAACTAACTACCCTCAGTGACTCATGCCTGACATCCAAATGGTCAAAATATTTTGATCCAAAGTCGACACATAAGTAGTAGGTCGAGTCAGGACACGTTGAAACTGGTCAGCTTGATGTTTCAATGCAGCTTTTTAAATAATTTATTAGCAAAAGAGTCTGGTCTGCATGAGGTGGGGTGGGGTCGGACCACACTATCTAGTAAACATGAGTGACACTTTTTTTTTTTTTGGTGAAACCAATAGGCCATCTTAAATGGGTGGGGTTGGACCACACCATCAAGGAAACATATGACTGGCCCTAATTTTATTTGTCGAACCAATGGACCATTTTAATTGGGTTGGGATGGATTAACCTAATGGTTTGGCCGTTTAGGTCATAAATTCCACTGCTATTTTTTTTAAAAGGCTTGAATCGGGTAAGTATTCCATTAATCTATTGATAAAAAGGGAAAATTGTGGTAAAGAAAGAAATACAAGAAAGAGATCCAAACAAACAAATAGAAAGTAATGGAAATAAGAAATAAAAATGGCAAGATCAAGCAAAGTCAATAATACTACAGAGTCCCCAAAGAAACATATTCCTCATTGGCGCACCAAAGAACAAAAAAAAAAAAACTCTTTCCAGAGGAGCCACATGTTAACCCAAGGCAGTGCTTTTGTGTGGGAACTACCTCATAATATTCAATATTCTCAACCAGGTCTCTGTATTGACCCTGAACCAAGTTACTAGAGTTCCATTTTTTCAGCTTTGTTACGCATTCCACAAGTTGGCTAAAGTTGATACAGCTGATGATTCCTGAACACACCCCTACTGTTCAATATTTTCATAGGAGTAAAAGAACCAAGGTATAGCAAAATGGTCAACAAAAAAGTTTCAGTTTATAAGTGCATGCAAATAATGCCATATCATTCAACATACACTTGCCTTAAGAGTTTTAGGGCCCTATTATGATTTTCTGGTCTCTGCTATATGAAAGATTAGCAAAGGTCTAATAAAGAGTTCAGAGTGAAAACTAAGTTGCGTCTTCCTGCCTAAAGAAAGGCATCTTTTTGCAGTTGTTTAGGCGCGTGCGCACACACACACACACACACACACACATATATATATATATATACAAGTTAACTTAGATATATTCGTATACAAGTTAACTTAGATATATTCGTATGTACACTATATCTACATTACTATACAAAGGCTAAATTTTTCCTTACTCATTTCCGGTTGTTTGTCCTCATTTTGACAAGGATATTTGTGATTGATGATCTTCCCCCTTTTATCTGTTATTCCTCTCTGCTGTGATGTTCTTCATCCATGTGCAAACAGGCTAGTCTTTTTTTCTTTTCTTTGTTTTCCAATTTGTTCACCTCGGATTTTTTTGTGGTGTCTTCTCTTTATCATGTCTTTTTTTTTCTCTGTGATATTTTCATTTTCTTCTCGTACTTGTACTCTAGATGGAGTGATCCTAGGTCGCTGGGTAGTTTACATGCATAGGTATCACCACATTTATTATGGTTGACATAAATGGAAAGGTGCTGCTGCTCCATGAATCATGTCTAAAATTTATCCTTTTGGGTCATGATATGTTTGATTTTATTTGGTAAAAGGTTAGTAATAATGTCATAGACTTTGTTAGTACTTTTGAATATTTACATGTTTGGATATGTAAAAATCCATAGGCATCCTTGAAACCGTTAGGTGTCAGGTTTCTCTCTGACAGATCTCTCTACAGTTTAAGTTATTTATTTGATCACCATCAGATAGCAGCATGCAGCCTAGTACTTGCTAGGAGTACAAATCTGATGCTGTGGGTCTTCACTATTGGAATAATCTTAATGTGCTATAAGGTTCCAAATAACAATTGAAGATCTAAGGGTAGAAGAGAGATCTAAGAGGGAATTGAAAGCTGGAGCGAGTTTCACAAGGAAAGAAGATAACCATGGTTATTAAGCCATAAAGAATTTCAAATTTTCATGCTCAATACATCATTAAGATTAATAGATTAATACATATAATATTATGCTAACAAAAGGAATTCTGGAAAAGAAAAGAATGTGTGTCATATAACAGCCTTAAAAACATGTATTAAATGTATGATGAAGTGCAATTCTATATGAGGAGGGGTACTTTGTCTAGACCAACATTTAATGACTTGGCAATTTGATTGCTTATTATGACACCTTAAGCATATAAGTAAGATGTATCGTTCCTGACATGAGTTGTATCGTTTATAATTGAAGGTCCCTCTCTCTTTTAGCAACATGATGCTTTTGTTTATACTGATGTAAACAATGGTGGATAACAGCGACAACCACAACAACCGATCCGTAGAACATCATCAACAACAGCTGCAAGGGAGCCCACGGAGCAACTTAAGCAGGCCAAAAGTATACCTTCCAGCCCTACCAAGAGCCAGCCTCAGGAACCCTTAAAGGCAGGTGTTACTCCGGCCGATGCTGTTGCTACCCAGCTCCCATCTTCGTCAGGCCTTCCCAGTCAACCCAACACCGAAACCACTACCCTTCAACCAACAGCTGGTGACAAGGAAGCACTGCAGGCTGGTGTGGCCAATACCACGGACAAAGAAAACCCACAGGAAGATGCTAATCCTCCCGTTCAAGAGAAACCCATCGAAGAAGCCATCCGTGTGACGCGTGCCAGACTTAGAAAGCGAGCTGCTACCGCTGGTCCATCGGCCCGCTAAAAGTATCGCTTGATTTCTGATCCATATTGGGAATTAATTTGTGAGACCATTTCCAGACACTATCGCGGTTCCTGTAAATAACTTGGAAGCATCTTGAGACCGAAGTTGGTAGACAAGTAGTTTGTGTTTCTTTGATTTTGTTTTCTTTGTTTTTTTGGCCATAAACAATGCGTTGTGGCATTTCGGTCATGCAAAGTAGTCATAATAGATTGTCTCTGAAGTTGAAAGTGACTCGTGATTCCGTGAATGGTGGCAACAGCGCATGCAAGAGCGAGATTTCCGTGAATCGAATTCAGAATTATCTGGGGGTTGGAATGATAACAGGTTTTCGTTGGCTCCCTCTTATCGTTTTTAACTATGTATTTATGAAGTCTACTTTTGTATGGGAGTCTACAAACAATAAAAGGAGTTAACAAAGCCGTATAAATTACTGCTGCTAAAATCCTTGAAGAATCATCCACTGTCCACATTTCCCCAAATAATTGAAGTTGGCTAAAAATCTATCTAAGAAACCTGATGAACATACAACACCGTTGGGCAATTGCAGGAATGATAGTAAGACGTGCTCCCCTTTACACGTTTCATTGGTCCGTGAGCGTGGGACCCACCTGGTAGACATTTTAATGGCATACCACATTAATTAAATCACTAAAATTATTTTTATTAGCTGACGGGTCGGATGAATTGAACTGGACCGGGTCGAGGGATTTCTTGCCCGATCCAAAGTCGTCCATGGTCGGGGTGCGTCTTCCACGTGTATATATATATAGACACATCCGCGACGGAGGTGGTCTTTATTTCTTGCTCATCATCAGTTCGAGGCATAGTCTTTCCCCTGCTCTGGATGTCCTCTACCTCGTATCGCTTTCCCTTTGTCTTTCTTGATTTGATCTAATGTATCTTGTTGAAGGTTCTGCAGGACTCGATCATCTGCCCCGGTGTTCTTGGATCTGTGAGTCGGCGAATCGCAAAGTCTCGATCGTGTGTATGATTCTTGGATCGATCGTCCGTGCTCATAGAGACTGTGTTGAATTCGAGACTGTTGACGCGTCTGAATGACCTTAACCCTCTTTCCTTCTTGTCCGGATTTGAGCAAGACAGAGGCGCATGCTCTCGTCTTGATGCTGAACGGAAGGTGAATCCGATCGTCCTTGCCCTCGAAATGGTTTATTCCATTGGATGGTTCTTCCCGTAGCCGTGAATTTGAGTTGTCTTGTTGTTTCTCCTCTCTCGTTCTTTCTCTGTAATGTTGTTTTACGCTTTCACTGTTCAGAATGGTTCGGTTTCCCTCTCTCTCGAGATCAATCCGGTAAACTGCCGTGGTGCGTATGAGGCCAATGCATCACGGCCGTTAATTAGATGGGGTAAACCGGGATAATCAAACCATGGGTTTACAATCCGTTGCTGTTTGCGAGCAGGCAGGAGACACAAGCATGCTTGCGGGACCCACCCTATAGAGTTCTTATTTTATTCGAAATTTCAAATACATCCACATGGGTTGAATAAATAAGACGGGTTCGTAAGCCGACGGGTCGGATCGAGCGATTTCTCGCCCGACCCAAATCGGGCGCGCTTCCTTTCCCTATAAATATCTGCGAGGAAGGCGGTTGTGTCGGTTCTTCCCCCCTTCTTTGAGGCAGAGCTCAGGGAGAGCGCAGGGTTACTACCTCCTCCCCCCCAATGCCGGTGATTCTTCTTTTCTGATTCGAAACCCTTTCGTGTGTTTTATCTTTCTTGATTCTGATCTGTGAGACGATCATGGACGAAGATCAACGACGGACCCGAGCATGTGCCTCGTCGGGGTTCTCGGATCGGCTTCAGATTCGTGATGTGTGTATGATCCAGACCCTAAATCTTCTCTCCTCTCTAGATGCTTTGTCTTCCGATCGTAAAAGGATGATGAAAGGGTAGCTCGGTTAGGCATCGATATCTTATATCATCAGTTGCTTGATTATGATAGCACATCTTTTCTTTTCTTTTGATGTTGTATGTATCAACATCTTTGTGTCAGGTACTCTAGCAAATTGTATTTGTAGAGATGATACTGTATCACCAAAGAAGTTAGTCTTGCAGGTGCATGGGAAGTTTATAAATTTTATTTGCTTCGTTTCTTGCTTACCTTTATCAGGATGTCTTAGAGGTTTTAAGGTTTCATTTTATGCCTGTATTTTCTTGAAAGATGACTCGCTTCTCATGTTTATTTTGGTTCTCTCATTTTAGCAGTATCTAGCTCTTGTTGTTTGTTCCGTTTGATCAAACACTCCTTTAGCTAATTTATTGATGCATTCATCTCTTTCTTTGCTCCATTGGAGTTTTCTGTTTTATGTTTTGTATCTGGCCCCCCCTCGTAATTGTCTGATTTCGCATTATTCCAAATGGAATGATGGTGTCTGTTTGCAAAAGGTTCTGTTGGTTGGTCGCAATATAGACCTTCTAGCAAGGTGAATATTTTCTTAAAACGATTAGTTCCTTGCTTTTGCAGGATCAACTAAGTAGTCTGGAATCCAGATTTTGCTGACCCCAAATAGTTGTGACATTAATTTTGTTATTATTAGAATATGGAGTCCAGATTTTGGCTTGGTGTTTAAACTTTTTGCATGTCGATAAATGAATGAAGGTATAAATTTAGTGTTTATAGTTAACATTGTAGGTAATTGTGATTGTTTCATGTCTAAGTTATTTTTGTTTATTACAGTCATCATTATTGATGTAAGGCATACTTGTATATCAGATGTAACTTTTTCAAAAAGGAAGACATCCTTTTCTGTTCCAAAATTACAGTGCATAACATATGCTAGATTGGTTCTATTCTTGGTAGTTCTCTTGCATAGTCTCCAGTCTCCACTGCTATCTTTTTTCTCAAGGGGATATTTTTATTCTCTATGGTTCATGTTGCTTGTAGAAATGATCAAAATGGAGAACCTGTTATTTTTTTGGCTAGTCATCTATTTTCCAGCTGGTAGAAATGGTCACCGTTCATGTGTTGTCTTTTGTTCCGCTTTGTTTCAGGATCAAATTTTCAAATGATCTACCCTGTTTAGCACGCGTTCTTAATTAGTTTCTACTTGAAGGGTGTTTTAGTTTATTTAGTTTTCTATTGGAATATCTTGATTTTGTTATTCTGATTCCAAACTGAATTCATCTACAATGTGTGTCTTGGAATTCTTCAGTTATGCAGTCTTTTGTAGAACATAATTGCGGTTGTTTTCTTATATCATATGACCTCCTCCTCACTTGGTTGCATAGTTCAATGTTGTATAACATTGCATTATTTGTGACACACTATGGGGGCAGTTATATATTGCCCAAAGATTAATCACAAGGAACAAACAGTAAATCAAAGATGACCTGCTGATGCAAAAACACGTTCTCAACACTGTTTATATCCAATTGTTCAAATAGTTACAATAAAATATTACATGTGATTGTGCAATCAATTTGTTTTTCGGTTCTTGAAACCTGAATACTAACAACAAATCACCTTTCTTTGTACACTGTTAAAGTTTCTACAATCAAAACCACTTTCAGATAATCAAAGGTCCTTTCGAGGGAAACAGGCTCACTCCAGCCGGTCCAGTCAAAAAGTGCCCAGTAGCATATGAAGCTATGCTGGTCTTTCTGAATGAAACATTAGGACACTAATGGCTCAGTCAAACACATCAAGGTGGTTTTCCCCCTTAAACGTTGTTCATCATAAGAGTTTCAAGCATTGTGGTCCCATTTACCATTTTTGTAGTCCCAACAATGAAGTCATATCCCATTCCTTCCTGCAAATGGCATGGGAGCATGGCTTAAGAATTTCTATCGCAACAAATTCGGAAGGCATACTTGAAGCAAATCCAACAGGCAAGCTATTTTTATTTTGACCAAGTTTAGAGAGAAGAGAAGGGGGGGTAAAGGTGCAGCAGTATACCTGTGAACTAAGAAAACGAAGAGCAGCAATTTCCGCATAAGTTACTCCTCCAATGAAGATCACCAAAGCTAAGGACCGGCGTCCGTCAGCAACCCTGGTAACAGTTTATATTCTAACATTTCATTGTAGGCAAACATCCTCTTTTTGTCGGCAAAAAGGTTGTACACAATCAGTAAGATGCAAAAAATTCAGATTAAGTTACCACGATAAAGGAAATTCTATGTCAAATTTCCTTTCTTTATTCATATATAAATTTATCAAACAGGTAATTTTTCCATTTTGTCATTTGCTTCCACTTCTTTTAATTTTACCCATTCACTCTGAGAATGGTACGATGATCAAACAGGAATTACATTTCAAGTTTCTTAGCCCATGATCACTGATTTTGGTCATCTACTGAATGGTATACCAACTCAAACTGCCTATATCAATTGACAAAATAATGAAAAATGAATTGGACTGCTTTGATCTATGGATATTGGACCATATCGTACACATCATAGTACACATATCAATGGATATTGGACCATATCGTAGTGACCATCCCTAGTCAAAATAAAGTAGAGCCAATTTTGCTTAGTACACTTTTATAACAATATATAGTTTAACAATATAATAGTAACTAATAAAATCTACAATTTTTTAACAATTAAGCAAGCTCAAAATAGTCAAAATAATATACTTAACGAGCTTACAGGAGAGAAGAGTGAAGTGTAAAGAGTTACACAAGTTCTAAACCAACTTTAAAATGCTTGCAAAAAGTTTCGAAGTACCTGTCAAGATTAGATTGGAAAATGGGATTTGCGTCTAATGAACTGTAACTGGAAGCACCCTAATACACAAACAAATAAAAGCAAGATTTTCACAATTGCAAATATAAAATTTATCTACAATCTAAGCCAAATAGGAAATTTGCAAACATACCCTCTTTAGATCCACATGAGGTCCTGGTAACAGCTTCATTATTTCTTCAATAGAGCGCCTGCTTGACAACTTGGTTATAAGAAAAGTACAAACTTTGGACCATCTTCATGTATGTAATAAGCACAATTAAAAAGAATATTTATCTACTAATCTAAGGTTTTATACATAGGTCCATTATCCAGACAGGTATGGTGTCAATATATTGGATGGAATGTCTGGGTATACCATACAGTATCATTGAATAAAAAATAAAAAATTACTTGTGTATTAGTATCAAGTCATATGTTCCAATATAGGTACTTGGTTAGAAGACTAAATACTAGTTGGCATGTACCAGAAATTCCATATTTAAAACCATGGTCATATTTTCAAATAAGACAATTTTTTTTCCATCTTTGCTGAAGGCACTTAACAACTCTATGAAGCACCACTCTGCTTTCCAGCTCAATATATTTAGTGGAAAATTCAAGAGTGTTCATCATCTAGTTATATTTAGTGGAAAATATTGGCTCCCACATGCTGGTAAATAGCCTTTTGAAGCCCCTCTTGTGTAGGCAAGTCAATTCACAAAAATTCACGAACTAGACAGGGTTGGCTAGGATAGAACTGGTTAACCTACTAGTGAGTTAGGTTCAACCATTTGGAATGACTATATTGATCCTTGATATTTCACTCTATAAAGGGCCCATCCTACAAAAAACATGAAATCATCATGTCCTTTTTTCCTTCTCTAGCCAAGTCTTTTTTGGTCTTTGAAAACATTGTAGGGAAGTAAAACAATAGATCCTTCAACAGCTCAACAGAAAAGCAAAGATACCAAAAAGCAGGACAAATAAGAAATTTGTAGTAGTGATATCCACTAAATTAAACTGGAAATAAACATGGTTGAGAAAAAAAAACCTACCATCCAGATCGAATCGCATGTTGTATGAGCCGAATGCTAAGAGGTGCATATCCAGAAAATATGTACGAGATATCATTGGGGCTGAAATGCAGTCAGGGATGCTAAAACACTCAGATACAAATGGTTAACATTTACTGGAAAGAATAAAAAGTCAAGTACTAAAAGCTGTGTGCAATACAATACTGATTTAACATGATAGTGTGCAGAAAAACCTGAAAGAGCATAACATATAGGAACATCAACAATTTATTCTGTATGAGAAGTTTCTGGATTGAGTTTACTACATCCAAGGACACAATCGACTAAAGTTTGCTTTAAGCATCTATACAATGAGACTTGTCTATGGATAATTCTCTCGGCAGTGTAAAATAAGATGAGAAAAATAATTCTCTCAGCAGCACATGATAATTAACTATCCATTGACACCATTGGTTTCATCAATGGAGAATAAAAACATTTGTTCTGTTCTAGAATTCTTGTGTCCCAATACATCCAAGGTAACACAAATAATAGAGCAAATGGAATTCCAAACATGTTTAGAAAACTCTGAATTACTATATTCTAATTTGGTGACAACTTACAAAGACAAAAGTAACAGATTGTGCTAAAGTAACTTGTTTTGTCACTCACACCCACCTCCCAAAAACCATTAAGAACAAACTTATAGATAAAATTCTTACCAGAATTGACAGATGGCACAAAAATACAATCTCTCAAGCAGGCAAGGTCATTCTCATCGATTCTGTCATCAACTCTATTCCCTTACACTCCTTAGCCAATTCTTGGCTTCCAAATAATATGATAGACCTCTTAATCATTGGCCCACCTTCATAAATATGAGTTTAACTTCTAGCTTCACCCTTGTATTTAACCTTAATCATGCTTGGAAACTTGATACTCTTACTTCCCTTTCCTGTACTGAACTTGTAAACCTCTTATCCTCTATCCATATCACCATGCAGTCCTGTGATGACACTTAATCGTTGGCCCACCTTCATAAATATGAGTTTAACTTCTAACTTCACCCTTGTATTTGACCTTAATCATGCTTGGAAACTTGATACTCTTACTTCCCTTTTCTTTAATGAACTTGTAAACCTCTTATCCTCTATCCATATCACCATGCAGTCCTGTGATGACACTTGGGTATGGACGCCTCACCCTTCCGGGTTGGCAACATCCAATAGTTTATACACTTTCTAAATCAAGGACATAGAGACCCAGGTAGAGAATGGCATGGCTGGAAGGTGATTTGGAGTGTCAATGTTTTTCCTAGAAATAAGTGTTTCCTTTGGAAACTCCTATGGAACAGACTACCTACCTCACTCTATCTATCTAATATCATACACTGTTACCCATCTCTGTGCCCAATTTGCCACATTGGTCCTGACTCTACTTCCCACATTTTTTTCTGTTACTTTGCTATTGAATATTGGAACCTCGCACAATATGCTTTGGGATTACATTTTCAGCATCTTAATGAATGGCCCAACAGTATTGGTTGTATGAAGGAACCAATCTCAACAAATCCTCTTCTACTTTACTTTCGTTAATTTTGACTTCCCTTTGGCTGCTTTGAAAGAACAGAAATGACGCTCTATTTCATTAATTTTGACTTCTCCTAGCACCATCCGGTGTAAAGTCCAAGCCCTTGTTTGTGTAGATATTTACACACCCAATCGCGCCTCAACTATTTGGTTCCCAAAAGGAACCTTCTCCTTGGGGCATACAAAACAACCAATTCCATTTCTCATAAGCTTGCCAACATAGCTAGAACTCATTGCTCCCCTAGATTTTGTGATGCAAACTTCAATTTTTTGTTTACTACTGATGGTACCAAACAACACAATAATGACACTTTTTTCTTTTCTAAAAAACAAACTTGTTAATGATTACTAACTGAATTAATTTTGTGTGAACAATTAGAGAGCTTTTATTATTTGTAAGGACATTGCATCTCATAAATCTTTCTACTGCATCCAAATATATGTTAGTATTACATCTGAATTTTGTGCAGTTTGAAAATGGATATAACATTGATAGAGCAAATCTCCTAAAATTGTCACTAGAGCTTTGTATTTTCCAGCACAAACAAGTAGATATGCAATACCATAATATACCATAATAACTGGTGCTTCTAATAGCAAAATTCATGAATGACAATTGATAAACTGTTACGGCACATGGACAGAGCAGACATTAATAGTTGCAAGCAAAAGGAAGCTTAGAGCAACAACAGTAAAATGTAGGTATTTTAATTTTTAAAGATATTCACACAGGGATACTTCTTTCCCTAATAGACTATATACTATATAAAAAAGATTAATGCTGAATTTAATGTCCAATACAGATCAACAGATGGTAATCACGGAAAATAATGGTATAATGGTTCTAGATTTAGTCTGTTATCGACCAATTAATCTTTAGAAGATAACAAAATAATGTATAGAAGAAACAATGACAATTTGATGAGTACAGGATCAATTAACAAAATAAAGATACTGTTCCGAGGAATTGCTACATCAGTGTAATTGACAATCCTTGGTGCCACATGCAAGATTAATTATATTTAGTTTGAAAGTATTAACTAACACCTACTATCATCCCTTTTAAATCAGGTAGCAATGTTGCATTCGAGATCAGAACTCAATTATAAAAAGTCATATAAGAGGTAGAAAATATGAGAGGCACATGCCAAAAGTATAGTCAATCGGACAAGAAACAGCATGATTAAAAAGCATAAGATAAACGAGTTTAGTCAATATAAAATAATCACCAACAATATGAAAACAATTGTGAATACATAGATATACTTGGCCGTTTCAGTGTCCTCAACAATAAGTTGCAAAGCTCGAGCAATAGTAAGCCAGTTGCTTTTAGATTCCTACACAGCAGGTCAAATGCATATGAGAAAATAATGGAGAAAACTAACCCAAAAGAAAAGAGAACGTGATAAAAACTAAAAAGAGAGAGAGACTGTCATATAACAAATAATAGAGGCATAATGAATAGATCAAACATAACAAAATACCTCAAATTCTAATTTTATGGTACCTACCTGTTTCTTAAAGAGGCCTGCCTTTTCCAGATTATACAATGTGGGCATATGCTCAAATCCATAGCTATGGAGTATCTCTCTCCTAATTGAGAAAACAGAGACATCTTATTATTGAATATCAGAATGTCACAGTAACTAAATAATGATTATGACAGAAAAATGAATCTAATATGGTCTCCACCACAAATGTCAAATATTGAACAGTAATATAATTCTTTATAAATAGACAGTTGCACAATAAGCAAAAAGTGTGCCACTAATGACATCATCGCACTAATGACACTAAACATTGGCAAGACAATCACATGTTTGAACATTGAGGACAATATAGCATCATAAATAGTTCAAGAGACTTAACAAAACTATGCATTGTACTTTATAAAACAACAATGATAATGAGCAGTGAATGCCCAAAGGCTTCAATTGCTGAACATATCAGCCATGCTTACTTGGAAGAAACTCAATATTTTCTTAAATGCCAAAAAATGTAAAACTATAATAGTATCATCCAAAAAATAAAAATAAACTGATATGTTAATGATGAAGTATTACCTCAAATAATCAAAGTTCTTTTTAGGAAGACCAGAGTTAGTAATGGAAAATAACACCAGCAACCGTAGCACATTGACAAGTGGTTCCTGTTTGTGGATCATCTCCTCAATGTACTCAAAACATCTGTCATTTGGATACACTAGCTAAGATTAAACAATATAAAAGAAATTAATATTAAGAAAAAGATCAACTTTTTGCTTTTTATTAATTCTAGGAACTCAGTTTCATGAACATGAAGCATCTTGAGTTATAAAGGGACTAAAAAATGAGTACCAACATAGCAATTCCTACTCATAGAACAGAGACTACAGAAGTTTTTTCTCTAAGAAAAAGTCACCAGCTGCCTCTATCCACTAAAATATTAGAACAGATAATAACTGAAAAAGAGAAGTTAGATGAATTAGCTTACGCTTCAAAATTCTGAAGCTCAAGAATTGTTTGTTCTATGTCTAGTCGAGCATGGAATGATGGTTTGCAAGTAAAAGATTGCAAATGATGGGCGAGATTTACATGCCTCTGGAGAAAAAATCAGCTGTAAGTTCATGTAGAAGTTTGAATTAGAGGAAAGAGAAAAGACAATGGAACTTACAGCTATTTCTGGTACTGAATACAACTTTTTAGCAAAATCCCTCAGCTTAGATACAGATTGAGACTGTTATATACACAAGCAACCATAAAATAAGTAACATAATACAGAAATAATGTTCATTCAAATCACATGGAGCTTAATACTGCTACATCTATATGTCAAACTCAACAGCATGACAACAAGATAAGAAGTTATGCACTGAAAAACAAGAAGGAAAATTTAAAAAATTAATCTACTGCTAACTAACTCTGGATCCATTAGCAGGCCAAAAGATAGGGTAAAACATCACTAGAAAAAACATATACATGTGAAATTTGAATAGAGTGTAACTCACACAACATCAGAAGAATTTAATAATAGAAACTTCACATGTACAGGGATCTCTAATTGTTTAGTGGGCTTCTGTCATTCCCATTAGTTTATTCAGTGTTGTAACACAGTTGGAGTGTGAATCAGAACCCATGTTTAAAAGAAACTGAAATAATTGCCTATACACCATCTCTTTTCCATGACTTACCACAGAATCAGCTCAAGCAGGGCAAACAACCTTGAAGGTATATATGGAAAAGACAAAGCAAAAGCACGATAATTTATATGGTATCAAGAAAAAGAGGAACAAGTTCCAAGTCAGCTCGTGAAATCTGAAGATGCTTAATATTCTAAAGAAAATTAAAAAAGAGCATAATACTGTGGGTATGAAACTAGTAAGTCCAATGTCCAGAAAAATAAGCAGTATGGTCATATCATGCTAAGACTCAATGAAAAAGGCATGAAAAACACATGTATATGGATCTATCAACCACAAAAAAAGACATTACAAAAATCCAAGTCTTATACAAGCTACGAAAGGCAATAATGATTACGTTGCAACTAAACTGTTTTACAACTACAAAAAACATTTTTTTTTCATTTCTTTCCTCTTAATCCTTTTTTCCCTTCTATTACTGTAAGTTACTTGACAATACTGATTATGTTTATGTTGCCAAGATAAGAATATTGAGATGGTTGTGTAGAGTTACCAGGAAAGATAAGAAAATAAATATTTTTATTTGTGAAAAATCAAGAATCGCTTCGATAAAGGATATGATGAGGGAATCATTTAAGATGGTATGGACATATGCCTAAGAGACCTCTGGACGTGGTAGTCAGAAGAGGTGAAATAATTAATGCTAGTGGTATGAGGAGAGGTAGAGAATAACCTAAAAATACCTTAATATAAACTATAAATAAATATTTAAGTACCAGAAACTTAACTAAACATATAACATTTTACACATTCCAATGGTGGCAAAAGATTCATATAGCCAACCCCGAATAGTTGGGATTTACGGCTTTGTTGTTGTTCTATTACTGTAAGTTAGAACAACATCAAAATGTAAACCCAATTACAACAACCATGGCTGTTGTGAAGATGATCAATAAAACGAAAGATGGCAAAAGAGTTGGAGACAATCACAAGAAGAAAAGGACAAAGATTAAATACTGTGAAGGTAGAATGGCAAATGAAATAAATATCTCAAACAATGAAACATTAATCTAGCTGTGGGTTACCTTTGAAATAAATACCAAAGATTTAACCTAGCATACAATGAGGCCAACCTTTGTCTAACTATCATATTTTCATTCTTTAATTTATATGGATCACTTTTTTTTCCCCCTTGATGAATTGGATTTTCTCATGATATTTAAAGATATTTACTCATTAATATGAGATGAAACTATAAAAAATATGGATGATAACAGAGATTTTACAAGAAAAAGAAATTAACAATTGAAATAATTTGCTGGGATGACAGTAAGCAAAAGCATTAATAATGCAACATGGCTACCAAGATTATTACTGAGAACTCTCAACAAAAGTTGGTGCCTATTTAGCCATATCTAGCGGATAATTTTTTAAAGAATGTTAAGTTAATGCATATGTTTTGACTTCTTTTAAAACATTCAATCATACGTTTTTAAGGAGTGCTTAAGGAACAGCCCAACAGAAACAAGGATCTACAACATAAAACGTCAGTTTACTTTCTTAATGAATACTCAATTCAAACATTAACAACAATAAATACTTAATTGCACAAATCTGCAAATAGACATAAACAATATGAAATTCTAATGAGACGTTGAAGTGGTGAGATACACTAGGCTGCTCTGTTTTAACATCAACATCAAATAATAACAGAAACTACTTCCCCAGTGGAAATCAATAGAAGCATAGAGTTCTGTTATAGTCCTTACAGTAGATTTTACTTCTGCATAGTCTTGTTGGATTGAAGTTGCCTTTTGGCGCAGAACCTGCAATTATTAGTCCAAATCAGTAACATTGGAAAAACAACAAATAGTACATATTTGATGATATAAGTTTACTAGCAGATTGAATATTGAAAATGGAGAATAACAATGAATGAAACTGAACAACCTGAACCACAACTTCATAGTTCATATCCCGGATTTCCTTGTACAACTTGTCACTGAAACAAAAGAAACATAAAGAAAATGTAAATGCAGAGCTATTCTGGGTACCATTACAATATGTAAACCTCTTGCACTGGTTCATCTCTGTATCCAGTTGTTCAAAGTAAAGTCAGATAAGCAAACTTAGGTTACTAAAACCTAGTTTTACTTCAATTAGGGTAACAAGAGAATGGCGGTATCTAAATGTCCATATGCATATGTTAAACTACAAAATTGTACAAAAATGTTAAACTAGAATTACCAAGCACTTCTCATGGTAGCAAACAAAGATTTGTGCCAACCATTTGGCACAGAATTCAACTGAATCACATCGGATCTGATTCAACAATATTCTCTTGTGAAGTAAAATATAGAAGAATTCAACTTGAAAATGTATGAAAACAAGTTCTATGCACAAGAAATGCATGTAAAAGAAAGCAGGGAAAGTTTTATGTTAATTCTTAATGATACTTGAAGAATTGTTTCATAATTTTCTCAAGTTTAAAGGTGTCTCCTCTCTATTTGATAAGTTCTTTGGAAATGCCCAGCCTTTGGTAGGGGAAGTTTTTGTGGTTGGCACTTAAGGATAGACAAAATTCATTCAACACATATCATTTTTAAGGAATCAATGGAGAGAAAATGCTTCTTACAACTATTACAATTGCTAGGATCAGTGATTTAAATAGGCGCTCGCCTAAGCGCTCGAGCGAGGCGAGGTGAGGCTCGAGCACCTCGTGTGTGCACCAGGCAACGCGCTTCAATGAGGTGCCACTTGGGAGCTCACCCAAATGCAAGCGCTAAGCGCTTTGGGCAAGCGCCCGATTCAATTAGGCGAACCGAACCAGTTTTAGGCTAGTTCGGTTCATAGTTTCTTACCTCAAAAGCCATGCTTCATGCACGCATGACCCCAAGGAACCCTAGTGCTACTTTTGCCTTTGCCGCCGACGCTTTCTGCAGCTGCCTTAAACGCAAACACAGCAGATCGAACCTTCCTCTATTGTCGACGAACAAGTCTGACAGCCCTCGTAGCTTCCTTCCACTATCGAGGGAGAGGACCGTAGGCTCCTCCACCACCGACGGACGCCTCTGAAGCTTCCGTCGCTGCCGCCGCTGCTATCAGCAGCTTCCGCCGTTGTCGTTGCTATTGTTCGCAAATTTCGTCATTGTCACTACTACTGTACACAGCTTCCCTCGTTGTCGCTGCTGCTGTCCACAGCTTCCACCACTGCCGTTATTGTCGTTCGCAGCGCTACTGCAACTATCTTAAACTAATCATCCGTCACTGCTGCTATCTCCCTCTGTTACTATTAACATTTTTTCTCCCCCCTCTAACTTTAAGTAATATACTGTTAACAGTATATTTTAAATTTAATATCATATTTTAATTTAAATAAATATATTTTTAATTATATTATTTATTTTTTATATTTGAATATTTCAGAGAATATTTTTTCTCCCCAACTTAAGTAATATATTGTTAACAGTATATTTTTTATTTAATATTATATTTTTTATTTAAATAATTATATTTTTAATTATATTATATAATTTTTATATTTTAATATTTCAGAGTACCTCGTTTCGCTCAGGCATTTTGGGACCTTGGCGCCTAGAGCTTTTTAAATCATTGACTAGAACGTATCTGCTAGTTATGTCCTTCTCATTTGCCCTTATGTAGCCAAGTATAGAATACAATGGGAGACTAAAAATGCACGTGGGAGCACATTTGAAATGTGCATTGAGGGTCCAATGCACAGTTCAAATGTGAATTGATGTTTGGTATTTTTTTTTTTCAAATCATATTTGACTTTGACATTGCATTGCAGATGTTAAAACGTTGATGTTGCACCATGGTAGCATTAGCATTTCAGCATTTGCGGGATGCTAATGTAAATTTTTAATTTTTCAAACTACTCTATGATATTATCTAAAATCACAAAGATTGCGAACATGATTTAGTGAGAAACCAACATGACATATGTTTTCTATAAGTTAAAATTTCATTTATTTATTTTCAAATGTTATTCTACATTCAATTATATGATTATATTTTTTATTTATTATATATTTGGGCCATACAAAATCTTTTTGCAAGATTACATACATTCATTTATTTTTTTATTTTTTTAATTATTAATTTAAATAAAAAAAATATTTTTTTGAATAAATATTAAAATATTTGTCATATGATACTCAATGGACTTTTGAAATATAATTTTACCAAATAATACTTACATCAATGCATATTTAAAATGTAATTTTCATCTATTGTTTATTAAGCACTAAAAGCATTCCACAATTGTACATTCACTCATATCTCTTTCTCCAAATGCACATTAAAAATACAAATATATTTCCAAATGCATCCTAAGTTTGAGATATACTAAAATTAACCACATCCTGAAGACCTAGAGAATCACAGGGTTAAGAGTAGATAGAGTTATTAATGGGATTGTCTCTTTATCTTCAATTGTTTAAAGATTTGGACAGCAAGGAATAAGTGTTTGCTTATGTGACAAGTGATTTGCAATTCTATCAGATGCCTTATGGTGGAGAATTAACCCCTAGCAAGGGAAAAAAATAGAATTTTGATAACCGTTGTGTGCTCCTAAAGGCTTCTAATATTCAGGTGCCTAGTTTATATCTATGTTGTTATTTGGAGATTTTTGCATAGAGAACTTTTCTCTTATGAGATGTTTGGGAGGCCTTTGTTCTAGATTCTCTTTCTCTCCCTCCTTTTGTACTCCCTATTTCATGATCCCAATGAACTTTCTAAAAAACTAAATGACAGCAAAAAATCTATGTAGTTGACTCCAAATAGTTGTGATATTAGCTTATTGTTGTTGTTGTAATGAAATAAGTTGACAGGCTTAAACTATCTTTGCCTCAAGTAAATTTCATGCCAAACAACCCGCTATACTTCATAATAGAGGAATAGGAATTGGTCTAATGTGCACTTTTAATTTTTTTCCATCTGTTTACATTTTCTAACCATAATATCCATGAAATTGACTTCATAGAAATCCTGACACAATCAAAATATTAAAGTTAACCAATAAAATAATGAAGTACCTCGAGTTCAGGGGAACCTTAATCTTCTTTCCATCTTGTTGGCCCATTACAGTACCATCAACCTCCACAGACCCATTATTAATTTGCAAGATCTGCATGTTAGTAAAATTTCCATAAAATAAAGTTAGTACTAGGTAATGTTGGATGCACAAAAGTTAAATTATGCAGTGAAATTAATAGAGAATGTCTGATCACATAATATCCTAGAAAATGAAGATCGATGGAAGTAATCATTATTTAAACAAAAATGAGTCAAACAATTATACTTTGTAATAGAAATTTACGTATAACTCATAAAACCAGCAAAACTATAATGTATACGTCATCATCCATGTAGGTGGCATGATCCTAACCACCATTGAGCTATTTTTGTAATACCTGTAATACTGCAGTATAGCCCATATCAAAAGTGAGTAAGCTCTTAAATTGACTTATTAAATCTGATTTAATGGTGTACTGCTACTATTCCAGACTTTATGCATTTTGAACTAGTTGTCCAGCCCCAACAAAGTTAATAGCAGAGTTAGTGGCTCAATTATCCCATCGGACTAAGTTGTGACAATTTTTTCACCATGTACAAGTACAAATAAAAATATTCATGAAGATCAGTGTACACATGAAGAGGAACATTTTCTGTGCATACAAAGATGATGGTGGGTAGGATTAAATTCACACTACTGTGAAAGTAATTGAACTTGAGATATGAGTTTTACTGGTCTAGTTACAATTGACCCAAAAAGTTAACTGAGATATAGATTTTCCACTTACTAGAGACACAATTACTATGTGTGTGTGTATATGTGTGTGTGTGTATACATTATATATATGTATACATATACATGTATATACATATATATATATATATACATGTACATACAGACATCATATATATATATGTATACATATATAAATATTTATACATGTATACATGTATACATATGTATACATGTATACATATATATATACATGTATACATGTATAAATATATATATACATGTATACATATATATATACATGTATACATATATATATATATATACATATATATA